CGAGATTCCATTGATTTTAGGTCCAAAAAGTGGTAAGGATATGTTCTTCTCGTCCTAAACTTCAAATTGGTGCAAATTTTTTGAATTTTGGTTGAGAAATGGATGAGTTATTAAGGTTTGAAGTTTTCCAGAATACTGCGATAGCAGCGGTGGCCGGCGCCGGACTTCTGCGAATCAAGGAAGAATGAGGAGAATATTCCGTCAAAGTTGACAGAATATTCTAACGGCGTCTGGTATCTTTAATGGTATATTCTAATATTTAACGGAATATTCCCTAACGGCTTTAGGGAATCCGTCAGTGTGCTAGGCATGTGTCTACACATGGACGGTGTGTGTGGCCATGCCATGGCTGGCGCGTGAAGGCAGGTGGGACATCAGAAATTTTTTCTAAAAATATGGGGATGTTCGTGGGGTTGAGTAGGTCACGATGATATATTTAAATATCCCAATTGAGCAACATATGAGAAGTTATTACCTAATTTTGGTTATGTGCTTAAAATAACGTTTAAATAGTTGTTTCACATATAGGTGAAACCTATCCAGAGGACGAGTGCAGTCAAACGAGACTCGGGGGTTACGACCCTTCCACATATCAGTAAGTGGGCTTTTAGTTTTCAATTTATATATACACACACACACACACACACTTGGAATTTTTCCTAGAAACTTTAATTAAATAGTTTTATATGTTGAAATGTCATGTCAAATGCTCTCTATGTTTAATTGTGCATTAGTATGGTTATATATATTGTTGCTCGATGTTGCGGACGGTCAAGTAAACTTCAAGTGAGTATATTAATGGCAGTGATGGTGGTGAGTAATTGTGTTGAGATGCATTTAGAGATTGTTATCCTGCACCCCGATGTTAGTGCTCTGCCCGAGGACAGGGCCTAGCCTTCACATGATCGTTCATCTCCCGCACCACACGCTCACCTTGGATCCAAGGTAGGTGCCAGCCTGTCGTACATACCACTTTAGATGGTTCCGACTCGTAGGTGACTTGCGATACTTTGCACAGCCTTCACGTGACCGTAACATTTGAGTATATTTATTTACATCGAGTCTGTCGTACAGACCACTTTAGGTGGTTCTGACTTGTGTGCAAAAAACTAGTTGATGAGTTCTAGATCCAGCTGTACAGGTCACGTTAGGTGACTCCGGTTGACGTACCATCTCATATTGATTTATTTCACCTGACTTACTTATTTCCTTACTGAGATATTTGACATGGCATGATTATGGATTTGCTATCTTAAACAGGGTTTTGAGATATATTTATATGCATGCTATTTTTCTGGGAATTATACAAGTTTTACGGCGATGGGTTATTTACTTTTGATAATGAACGATTTTGAAAAGCTTTGTTTTTGCCTACTCACACCTTCTGTTTTGCGCCCCTCCAAGTTCTAGTTAGGAGTGCTTGTTGGTGGCTTACGAGGAATTCACGACAGCTTTGACAGATTGTCACTAATGTAGGACCATTTTTGGTATTGTATAATTAGTATTCGTCCTGCTAGACTGTATTTAGGCTACTTATACTCATATTATGTGTAATTATACCTAAACACCATATTTGCACTTAGGTTTCCTTAGTGTAAATTAGTTAGCTTGGTTTTTATTCATTCACTTTCCTTTATATCCTTATCGTTTCCGCATTGCGCACATGACTACGTCACCCTCACATGACGGCTAGCATGTCTCGATCTAGGTCGGGGTGTGTCAGTATATATATTCGAGAGGAAGATTCAATAATATTAAAAGAAAAATATCATAATAATAGTTTGATCTAGTTATAAAGTTATTATCAATGTTGCGTTAGATGTCAACACAGATTCTATTTACTATGACATCTCTCAATACTAATTTTCTCATACAAATTTTAAAGCTCCATCACTCTTGTTTGATTTAAATTTTCGATGATATTACTAATTTTTTTTCTAATTTCTTTCATTAGTTTAAAGGTCCCTCCTGGCATGAATTTCTGGCTCCGCCATTACTCATTTTACACTCCTCACAAATGTATTTTTATTTTTATAATAGAAAGTTTGGAGTGCCAATTGATATTTTCGAAATGTTAATAACAATTCCCTTTATTATACTTCAATCCCCATATATTTTTTTGCTAACTTAAACATTAGAGGCTCTCCGGCTACTACCACCCTAATAGTTATGAGCGGCAATGCTTGGGCATGAGTGACCGTAAAGATGAGATTTGACACTCGGATGGTTGATCCAAATTTAGACATCAATAAATTGTCTCTTGAATCTAGACATTGATGAGTGACAATGAAGACGAGATTTGACACCCAGATAATTGATAACATGTTAGTACGTTTCGCACCCCGACCCTCCCCCACCTCGTTCATGGTGATGGAGCCCATATATTCAATAAAAACGTACGAAATCAACAACCACGGACATTGATGAGTGACAATGAAGACGAGATTTGACACCCAGATAATTGATAACATGTTAGTACGTTTCGCAACCCGACCCTCCCCCACCTCGTTCATGGTGATGGAGCCCATATATTCAATAAAAACGTACGAAATCAACAACCACGCCAACTTGAAGGATTGTAAATGGAGCAGACGGAAAACTTGGCAAAGTGAAACAGAATGTGGGTTTAGACACCTTTCGCGAAGTGAAACGGAATGTGAGTTTCATGCAGTTAAGTGACAATTTTGCGGAAAGAAGGCTAAATTGCCGTTTGACAACCTAAATTATTATCCCAACGGAAATTGACTTCTAAACGCTATTTGAAATCAACCAATTAACCTCACTGTTAAATTAGATGAAATTTCATACACTTTGTCGTTAAATAATAGCATGATTTTACGCTCAAGAGTGAATCACGTGCTGATCACCTGCATATGCGAGTATTTGACGGCAAAGTTAATAAAAATTTTCATCGAATATGATAATAAGGGGTTAAAATTGGTAGATTTCAAATAGTTCAAAAAGTTAATTTACCAAAAAATGAAGAGAGTTTTAACGAAACATTCATGATACTATTCACTTTTAATGAAAAATCACATTTTTACCCTTTACTGGTACTATTCACTACACCTTTATTTGTCATTTTTCATTAAAATTAAAGTTTTTTTTTTTAACTTTTCGTTAGTTTTTCTAAAACTGAATTCAAGAGTCAATTTCAACTAAAATAATAATTAAAGGATCAAACCGCTGTTGAAGCACTATTTAAATATGGGCTATGTTGTAGCTCAGACCACCTTCATACGTGATAGGGTCTAACGTGCGACATTAGTAAGAAAAACTAATACTATTTAAATATGGGCTATATTCACTTTTAATGAAAAATCACATTTTTATCCTTTACTGGTACTATTCACTACACCTTTATTTGTCATTTTTCATTAAAATTAAAGTTTTTTTTTACTTTTCGTTAGTTTTTCTAAAACTGAATTCAAGAGTCAATTTCAACTAAAATAATAATTCAAAGGATCAAACCGCTGTTGAAGCACTATTTAAATATGGGCTATGTTGTAGCTCAGACCACCTTCATACGTGATAGGGTCTAACGTGCGACATTAGTAAGAAAATGCAAATGTTGAAATTTAAATATAGAGAAATGTTATTGGCATTTTAAAAATCTCATTCTACACTTGTCACAAGTGTATTTTTTTTGTCATAATATAGAAAGTTTGGAGTGTAGAATGAGATTTTTGAAGTTCTAATAACAATTCCCTAAGAGAGCATTTACGTACACGTAATGGGAATCAAAATATGGAATTGTATTCCGATTACGGACCACTCCTGTGTTTACTATATTTTAAGGAACAAAAAATATGGTGGGACCCACACAAAGTTTGGAATTCAATTCCTCACTTTGGAGGAATTGGATCCCTTGATAGTAGGTGGTATTTGAGTTCCGGAAGAATGAGGGAATGGGGAATCCATTTTTCATACCCATAATGCCCTCACATAATTGCTGAAATTCCAATGATAAAACCAACTCCCGTGCCCACCAGCGCTAGTTTGTCTGCTTCTCCCTCACTACCGCCCCCTTCCTGTCTTCCAAAGGCCACATACCCACCATCATCTTCCTAGACAACAACGACAACTAGAAAACAAGATCAAGCGAAAGCTGAAGAAGAACCCATTTTAGTTATTTATTTTTAACACAATGCTAAAACCCAAACTCCTCATATTCAAATCAACATGATATACCCCGTAAACTAAACTTCAAAGAAATTACATCACCACAACCAGCACTTCCCATAGGCCTCAAACCCACTGTGAATTTCAAATTGTTGAAAGATGATTGAGGCAGAGATAGAGAGAACGGTTGGGTTGGGGTTTGGTTGGTTAGTTTTTTATTTTTAATTTTATATCAATTGACTTGATTTCCTACAAGTTCTTATAAAATATTTATTTATAATAAAGGGCATTTTAGTAATCATACAAATTTTCATTCCGATTCAAGTGAATTAGTAAACAACTTATATTCAAACAAGACCATTTATACTCTGATTCCAAAAAACTGTAGTAAACAGCTTTAATGGAAATCTGGATTTCAATTCTCCTCAATTCAATTCCCCCTCAATCCAATTCCATCTATTTTGATTACAGATTAGTAAACAGGCCCAATATACTACATATACACGTTTTATTATATCAGCCGGCTTGAGAAGTGGATCCTGTTTTGGATCCTGTTTTGCGAGATGTGAGACAGCCAGTCCATTGGCATGCAAAGCCGAATGTCTGGGACTAGCTGTCTCACGTCCCTCAAAACGACATCGCACTCATCAAGTTGTTCCTGTATTACACAACATAACAGGAGGGAAGACAGAAATCACAATTCAAGAGGACAACCTAGAAAGCATTTGGTACCTTAACTAAAGGGTAGGTAGATTTTACTCACTCAGTTCCATCCTAAAATGTTCTAAACGAAAATTTCAGTGCCCGATTGAAACGAGAAAATGTGTAATGGCAATTATGGCATACTGATCTGCAGATTATTTATCATCTACAGGCGATAGACTCAGAAACGCTTCCATAACATTTCTCCTTAGCATCCAAAACAGTTCAGTGCCAACATAGACCATCCATACATAATTAAAGCACTATACGACGGGTTATATATGAAAATATATACATAGATATACCCATTTGTAGAATGTATGTGTCCAGATAATTGCTCTTCTGTCAAGACCTCCTCTTTATTTGAATTCAGACCACAATCGAGATAGTTTTGACATACCCGAATCCTTTAACTCCGGCCTGAAGTGCAAAGCATCTCAACCTCAGCATCCCATGTCTGGAGCAAAGGGTAACAACCTTAGAGTTAAAACCCACACCAAAACTCAGACAACTTGGATCAATATAAAAGGTGTACAAATAAATTTAGATTTGAAACTTAGAAAAACTTCTAGCGAATTAGTTGAATTAAGGTCTTTCGTTATTTCTAACATGCACACAAAAACCAAAAAAAACACGAAAGAACAAACGGCGGCAGAGATAACTGTCATCCTAATCGATAAAGCCGCCAGCTAGACGGCATACAGTAAAATCAGACGTGATCATGTGATTAAGAGCAAGACTGTTGAAAGAGGAATGTTCAAAGGGTCAAGTGATAGGCCTGAGGCGCTGTGCACACACAAAATAGCACGCTAGCACATAATTCAAATCAAAATTGTAATTTCTTACTGCATCACGGGGCCTTAATAAGTAACAATGGTGGTAGAAACAAGTCGTAAATAAGGTGGCATTGGTGATGAAGTGGTTTACTTCGATACCAAAATAACAAAATTCAAGCCAACATTATTACTCACCTTAATTATGAAATGCTGAGGATAGATGCATTGCTGAAACAATTAATAGCAGATCAATGTGAAGTGGAACCTGCGGCACAAGTAGTACCAGGCCTATTGTTGTCGCTCAAAGGGTTTTCTCCACGGATCTCTGCACGGTTCTGGTTCCTCTGCTCTGCAGCAGAACCATCTGGATTCTGATTCACTACAGAAGACTGGTTGTCTGTACTATTGTCTCTTGTCTCAAGGCGCTCCATCATTCGAGATACGGTGGCAATTCCAGCATTAACCTCTCTACGAACTTCAGAACTGAGTTCCGACATAGAAGGGCTACGGGAGAACAGCCTCTCCTTCAATCCTCGTGTACTCCTCGAAAATGATTCCTTGTACCTCAAGTACAAATACAACAAATGAAATGGTAAAGAGAAAACCAAATGTATACACACATGCACATTAAACTAGTAAGGTGGTGTCCAAAATAGAACAGTGGTCACTTCATATCATACCTCATTGACATGGAATTAAACTTAGATTTCAGAGACTCTGAAAGAGAGTGAAGTTCTGATGGTCCTGCTCTGTCCTGATCCAACGATGAGGCATGGCTAGTAGAGCTCCTACAAAAAGATACTAAATAGTCATACAAATGTGAAATGCCTAGCATAGAAGTACATAAAGAATACTACCAGTGACTAAATGGTCCTATAAAATGCAACATACGAAAATTATTATTACCAATGACTAGAGGAATTTCCTTGACGATTTCTATGCATGCGTGAAGACCCAGATGGTGAGGAAGAAATTCCATCAGTCTGAACAGAAGGATATTGTGCACTCCTTTGTGATGATTCATCCACATCTGAAGTAAGTGGGGTAGATGGACTTGCTACAGTTATTTCAGCTGGTTCACCGTCCCCTCCTGGGGCATGAACAGGACCAAGAGGAGATGCACTAGGATGTGTAGAAGGTACCGAGAAGTGTGGATGACCACGAGCAGATGATCGGCTCCGATGGCTTTCCCTTCTACCATGGTGATGGGCCCTTCCCATAGAAGCAGCAGCGGCCAAGTGCTGAATGATGCGCTCTTCAAGTTCAGCATTGGTAGTACCCACAGGTAACTGAATTCCATTTCATAAACCCATTAAATACCATAATGAAACAATCTTAAAATTCATAACTTTAGGGAGCATTTGATTGACCGGACTAGGGCTGGATTGGGCTATTTAACACCGATTCCTAACTTGGACCAAACACGGGGTTAGTTAACAACTGGATAATATGGGATTATACCTTCTTTATGTGGGCTTAGACCATATAAAATGAGGGGACTAAATAGAACCAACCCAACCCAACCCAACTCAAACCAATTCAATCCAATCCAATCCCTATAATTAGTCCAAACCAACTCAATCCTATGTATCAAACATGCCCTAAATATTTTATTTTTGTACCTTGTAATGCTTTAAAGAACCAAAGACTTATTCAAACAAAAAAAACAACGAAAGAATATGACAGACATGCTGAAATTGAAAATCGCCAAGGGTGGGATGATGAAATATAGTTGCATTTCTTGCTGTCTCCCTAAATCTTCTCTCCCGTTCTACTCCCTCCAGTAATTCTTGACTGCCAAAATACATACACGTTTCAGTTAACTCCAAGTAAATAATTATAACACGTCAACATAAATAATGACAAAAACAAACCTGCAAGGATCCTTCAAGCTAATGGGTTGCCAACACATGGGACATTGAGAGCTTCGCTGGCACCTATATGAATGTACAATATTGTTAGATTCTGAGAGTGTCTACCTGTCCCAATTTGAATAGTTATTGATGAACTAAGGATGGCTTTTAAACGCGTATGTATGTGCATGGAGTTCGTGCAAGATAAAACTTGAAACACAGTCTTAAAGCCAATAAAGGCTATGTCAAGTGACCAAAAAACCTTACAACTGAATCTCTCATAACCAGATGAGATCCAGAATATTAACATCTTCATGAAGTCATAGTTTAAATTCACATTTACAGGGAAATAGAACTAGAAGGAAAACATATCAGCTAAGTCACTGGCCCCCATAATAAAGAACGGTTCTATTGCCACAATTCATATATCCTCGCCCCAACCACAGTTTAAAGGATATTAATCAACTCTCCCACCCCCATCATTCCCGTACTGCCGCATCTCCTGATCCTTCCATATCCCTAATCTTTATCTTCGCTAAGTAAAGATGGTGGTTTCCATGGAATATGCATAGAAGGCAAAATATATCAGCTAAGGTCACTGGACCCTATATAATAAATAGCGGTGCTATCCCCACACCCAATTCAAATATTCCCACCCCAACCACAATTTTTAAGAATATTAATCAACCCTTCCCACCCCCATTATTCCCGTAAGTGCCGCATCTCCTGTTCCTTCCATATCCCTAATCTTAATCTTTGCTAAGTAAAGACGGTGGTGTCCATGGATGCTGCCCATGGTAGTGCAGTGCCCTAAAAAAACTTGTACTGCTTGGTGCAAAAAACTGGCCTCAAATAGAGGTAAAAAATAGACTTGCTTAAAAGTTAAAATAAGTTTAATGAAAAATCAAATACAAATTAATAAATAAAAAGTAAAATAAATGATGTTAGTAAGATCCATGATTGAAACTAATATGCTTTATACCACTCAAGGATGCAGTGGAGGTGAAACTCATGCTTGCAAGAAGTAACCTGCAAAGCAAGACATGGAATGTGATTAAAGGAAAATCTATATAAGATCACGAAAGAGTACAAAGCATAAGATTCTCATGTGCAAGGAGAAAACAAAAAGGTGGATACACTTGATATATTACCACTGATGGATCACTGTCACAAAACTCATCAAGGCATATGCTGCAGGCTTCGCCATAATCCTCTTGTATTCCCCCTTCCACAAATGCAGCAGCTGATATCATATGACTTTCAGCATCCTTTGCCTCCATTTTATTTGGAATCTTTTGACACACAAAACCCAATTTCAACATTGATCAGTAGAGCACATCGTTTGTGAAAAGTAGCATAATTAAATCCCAAACGGAATGAGCATCTATTCTTAAAGAGTTAGCCAATCTCAGTTCTAAAAATTTTAGAAGTAAAACAAGTAAAGCTGCTGGCTAAGTTAATAAATTCTCATGAGTAGCCAAGATTATAAACCCAACTCAAGGAACCTCAACCTATCAACTGAGGCTGGCGACACTAATATCTTAGGTCTTATGACTCTTATCCTACTTAAATTATCTGGGACCACATCCACCGTTATTTTTTGGAAAATCGTTTCCTAGTTTACCATTGTAACCATTCCTGCCTTCCTCTAGTTTCCTTTTTCTATTTGTGAAAACTAACATTCGTTAAATTGAACTGAAAAAGTAGCATTTCTTAAAATGCTGAATTATATCAATGAAAACTGAGATGGAGAAATTCACACACTGTTTCATCTATACAAAATAAAAACTACTCTTCTGTTTAGATAAAGAAAATCACTTTGTTCTCAAATATGTTGACTGATCCAGGTGAAAGTTTGTATATATTTTAAAGGATTTTGAAATGTTTCATGTAGCATGCAGAACTCCAAACTATATCTTTCATAGTTGTATCAGAGATTAACAAAAGCTTTGTTTAACATACACACATAGCATCATTCATCCTTCCATTCCATCCATTTGCTTATCCGAATATACAAATACAGTCGCAAATATATGAAACCCAGAGGAAACAATAAACTTAATAATCAAATCCCCCGCATCCAAGTTCAAATTCCCCTCCCCGTAGTTTTTATTAGATTAGAATATCGCTCGAATACAAAAATATAGCATCATTAAAATAAAAAAATAAAAAAAATAAAAAAAATAAAAAAACCTCCCTTAGACAGGATAACATTTTCTTTAACATACACACATATCCTCAATTATCCATCCATTGGTTCATTCAATTATACATACATATTCAATTATATGAAACCCAGATGACATAATACTCTCAATAATCAAATCAAAGCAACAACATAATTGAAAAGAAAATCAAAATTCAATCCTAAGAATAAAAAAGATTACAACTTTAATCAAATTCCAAATAAAAAATTGGTGGGTTTTGATGGGTTTACCTCCATTAAGGGTATTAGAGATGGCAGTCAAGAAATTCAGAGAAGAACGGCCATGAAATTGCAGCAGATCGAGCTCTGAATTCCCCAACCAGAAAACCCCACTAGAGATTCATCGCCAGCAGGCCGGCAGCAAACAAAACAAAACCACCCTACAATTAAGCGGTGCACAGTTGATTGATCAATGTTGAAAAAACAGAAGGATAAAAAAAATTAAAGATAATTTTACCTTCAAATTTGGATGTGCAGTGCTGGTTCCTGGTTGGTTTGTTTTTGTTTGGAAAATTCAGGTTTTATATTGCTGTATTATTCACGTAAACAAAATCAGCTTCAGAAAATTACGGAATGCAGAGTGTTTTAACGTCTTGAATGAATATAATCTACGTTTCAAGGAAGATATTAATTTCTCTTAATTATATGTTAAAATATTAAGATTACGAACATTATTTTTTTCTGAAAATAATTTATGTTCCTTCCCCACTTCCCACTTTTTTGAGAATTTTCTTTGCTTTATTTGTTTTGTCTTTTTTGTGCGTTGGAAAACAAACCCCACCCCCACAATCACGACATGTCACAATAGATGGGGTCACAGGGAGAGGCCTCAAGATTCGACACCACCCATCGAAGAAATTTTTCAGTTCAGGGCACGGGTGTTACGCCATAAGTTATAGAAAAGGGAGGCAGGTTGTCTGCCCTACTATTACGGTGTCTTTTTTATTCATTTTTATTTGTGCGGTTATGATTAAATCACGTCAATATTTTATATTAATTTTTTTATAGAGATAATAAAATAAAAATGAATAGGAATATAAAATGTTGACGTGGCTTAATCGTGACCACACAAATAGGAGAGGATGGGAAGAGCACCATAACAGGAGGGCAAACAATCTACCTCCATATAAAAGTGGAAAGAAGTTTTTTTTAATGTCATTCAGCTTGTAGGCGTATGTATCCGTATTTCAGTATATTGAAAAAGGGCCTGGCTTCTCTGCCCTCCCAGTTCTCATACACTCTCATTTCCTCCTATTTGTTCGGTCACGGTTAAGCCACGCCAACATTTTATATCACTATTGCTTTTTGTCTTATTGTTTCTATAAAAAAAAATCAATATAAAATGTTAACGTAGTTTAACCGTGACAGCACAAAATATGAGCAATGAGAATGTATGAGAACTGAGAAGGCAGAGAAGCCGAGTCCATTGAAAAATCTCTCAACTCGTTGAATCATTGGGTGTTCATCTATATGGGGGTCATTTACTAAAGTATAGAGCTCATTTTTTTATGTTTAATTTTAGCCACATACCCAAGTGATTTGTTTTTATTTTGTATATTCTATGTTTTTGTGATTAATAATTTAGTAGTTGGATTTGTTTCCATTTTATATGAATACCTAGAAGATTTTTATCTTATTCGTCCTATTATTTTCGTTTTTATTTGGTGGACAATTGACATACAAGATAATGTAGTTTATTCAATACAAAATTGGTATATGGTATGTAATCATATATACCAAGCTATTAATGTATTTGAAGTCACCCTCATAACCAAAAAAATGAGACCGTTGAGTTAAATCACGAATAAATTCGTTTTTCTTGAAATTATATTTGGATAAAGGAAATAAATTTGGAATTTTGATAAAAGTTAGAATTTATAAATTGACATGCATCAATTCTCTTGTTTGGATTCATAAATATAGAAATTTATAATTTCTGCGTGGAAAAAAAAAAGAATTTGGGACCTTCAATTACCAAGTTTAAATTACATGTAAATATTTGTTATTTTCAAATTTCTATGGGTAAGAGTTTAAAAATAACAAATTCTATTTCAAATTCCATTGTTCTTTTTAAGTTAGCCAAATAAGAAAATTCACAAACCTTAGAAAATAAAATTTCGTCATTTCAATTTTCGTCATTTTAAAATTCCTTAATAATCTTAAATTTCCTAATGCAAACAGAATGTAAATGTAATTTTATGCTTACTGTTATCAAATATTAAGACTCATGATAGACTTCTAGTATTCAACATACGACAATCGAATATTTCAAGAATTTTTGGATGTTGGCTACTGAACCGTTGCATAGTTTTACATTAATTGCAACTGATTGGGGTAATTTCAGATGCGTCTGATCGAAAACAAGATTTACCATTCAAATCCAACAAAAAAAAACATTGAAATCAAACTTTTAATAGTTGTTTGTGGCAATCATTGAGAAAAAATAGCCACTGCAGCCTCAATACGGAGGAATTATTAGATGATATGGTATCACCATTATAAACAAATAACATATATAGCGAGCAGATAACGGTAATTATTTATCTATAAATATTTAAATTCTTACACACTTAACCATCTAAGCTCATATCCGAACAGCTCAAGATTTTTTAGATTTCATATTCTGCTTAAAAATCGACCCTTTTTGTGTTGTCTTATTCGAATTTCTGACTTTCTACCCAATTTTTAACTTTGCATCAAAACCTCCCCAACTTTGCGATTAAGATCGGACAACCTGTCACCCAATAATGATTTGGGGCCCTTGGATGGGATCTGACAGCCACAAAATGTTCGGCACAAATCATAATTGCACTGAAGAAAAATTGATGGTCTTCTTATAAAGCCTTCTTGTTTTAATAGGGTCACAACTCTTTTGTGTCACTTAGGTCATCTCCAACCGAAGGGTCCAGAGAGTCAGAGGGCCGAAAATAGCTCTAAAACCGTCTCCAACCGAGGGCTAGGCCAGAGGGCTCTGGAATCTGGGAGGGCCCCACGGGATCGGAGAGGGCTGGAGGGCTGGAGGGCTGGTTGCTTTCGGCCAGCCAGCCAGCCCCGGGCTGGCTTATTTTTTTTTTTTAATGTTTTCTATTGCTGTCGGTTAAAACCGACAGCATTAAAGAGGTTTTATTTTTTTTTTAATAGTTCTACTATTAGTGTCGGTTATAACCGACAGTAATAGTTTGAATGTTTTTTAATATAACGGCTAGTAGCCGTTGTATTATTAGGCTTTTTTTTTATTTTTTAATGAATTTAAACTTTTTTTTTCCCTTTTTTTTTCCTTTTCATATTAATCAAATTTTGTTTCATATTTTTTTTCAATTCTATTTTACAAAATTTGTTTCAATTTTTTTTTTAAATTCTATTTTTTTCCTATAACTTCTATTTTACAAAATTTGATTCATATTTTTTTTCCTATAACTTCTATTTCACAAAATTTGTTTCATAATTTTTTTCAATTCTATTTTTTTCCTAGGCCATTTATACAACATTAAATTAAATTAAGTAACATGAAACAACATTAAACAATATGAAATAACATTAAATAACATTAACCAACATACAAATTATACAACATAAAAAAACATTTAACAACATGAAACTTAAACAACATTTTTAAAAACATTTAACAACATAAAACTTAAAAGCCTAGCCGTTAGATTTGAATTTAAATTGTAGTTTTTAAATAATAAATTATGTTTGGCCCTATGGCCCTTTGGCCCTCGGTTGGAGACGGTTTTTTGTGAAAGGGCTAAAACGAGCCATTTGGCCCTCTGGCCCTCGGTTGGAGACGGAGGCAAATATGGCCCTGTACTGTTCATTAAAATATTAATATCTTGAGGAATCTTGGAGGGCCAGAGGGCTCAAACGAGCCCTCTGGCCAGCCTTCGGTTGGAGATGGCCTTAGTACTACAACTTAGTAATTTTTTTTTTTAATTTTTAAGTAAAAGATTTTAAATTCGATTATCGCCAAAAACGATTTAAACCATATTATTGCTTTCCCATGTATCATTTTGAAATCGATTTTAAAAAACTTTTATAAGTGGGAAAGTGTTGTCTTAAGACATTCCATAAAAATTCCCACGTTTCCCATTCATTACCAATATGAAGTGCTGCCTAAAAAACAATCCGACTATATATGTGTTGAGAGTGAATTTCCCGTCAGGAAACTGGATCTCTACCAGCTGAAATTATAACACATTATTTGTCTATTATTGAGGTACCATAAAATGCAAAGTGTTTGTAACTCAGTTGATTAAAAATACTCACCCTTGCACCCGAGGTTTTGAGTTTAATTTCCTCTTTTCACTATTGCTTGTATATTCATATACATTAAAACACCACGTCATTCACCAATATTATAACACGTTCACCATGAACGCAAAATTCTCAAGTGGTCCCATGTCACCTAAAATCTTCAAAACTACAATTGGGTTTGGAATATATTCTAATTGGATAAAGAACAAGGACATGGATATTTTAGTGTACAAGTGGCCCTTATCCTGTCTATTATTCACTACTAAAGTTGGCTACATGTATGATTAAGTGCTTTAATTTCGCCCAAGAACATCTCAAATTTACAATATAGTGTGGACCTAAAGTTTTGCAAAACTAGTCAAAGCACTTTCATGGTTTTTTTGTTTTGTTTTTTAATAAACGATATTATCTACACATAAAAAATGTGGAAAAATGGGTTAAGCTTCACAATGACCTAGCAATAATGTGGTTCAAATTCGCCTTTGGCGAGAATTGAACCTAAAACCTCTCACTTATAAATAAATAGAAATATCACTTGACACACCCCGACCGGAGTCGAGGCATGCTGGCCGACACTCGAATGTGACGTAGCCAAAAAGGAAGGTGAAGCATGAAAATATGGGTAAATCTAAACCAAAACTAACATTTATTTAATCTAAAGTAGTTAGTGTGCAATAGTGGAAAGAACCCATAAACACAAGTGTTCAGAGCATAGATGACATAAAAGTGTGCAGTCGAAACTAATTAAAGTGCTTAATACACAACCAGGAAAAAGCCCCTACACTTATTTATGGATATGTCAGAACTGTCGGATATTCCTCGAACGCCACAGAGTAATAAGCTAACTAGGACCTGGAAGGGTGAAAAACAGAAGGGCGAGTGGGCAAAAACAAAGGTTTATAAAACACATTTATTTTCTGAACATACTAACCCCTTGCCGTAAAACATGTACAGTTTCCAGAAAATCATACTACGTATAAGTATGAAATCAAATGCAAATCAACAGTAAATCTAGAAATACGCCAAATCACAATATATCAATAGTAGCATAATAAAATCAGGTGTTAATCAATCTATGCTAACAGAGAATCTGACATGAACAAGACTGGGTGTAATCATAATATATGTTATAGTACTACAATCACGTGAAGATTGGAGCTAGGCGCATCACATACGAGTCGAAGTTGCCAAATGCAACATGTACGACATGACTGGCACCTACAATGGATCCAAGGTAAGCGTGTGGTGCGATGCGAACATACACGTGAAACCTCGCCCTGGCCGAGGCGAGTACTACACCGGTGCAAGCATGCATGATAAGCAAGTATAAAGTATATAGACATGCCATGACAATATATAAATCT